ACACGACACTACGACTACACACGTACACACGACACACTACACACACACTACACACACACACACACACACACACACACACACACACACACACACACACACACACACACACACACACACACACACACACACACACACACACACACACACACACACACACACACACACCACAAACCGCTGCCTTCACACATGAGTGTCCATCAGACAGAACATTTATCAATCCAGAACAACATAATGCATGGCAAGAAAAGCACATCCAACGCACACAATAACACACAATAACACACAATAACACACAATAACACACATGCAGAGGGAACAATAGGCCCAAGTGTTCGCACCGTGAGCACGCCATTATCGTGCGCTGTAATGGAACTATGTGAGGGAGTGGTTGCGTTTAACTAGCCTGCAGAAATCAGATAACTCCACTCAGCATATACTGAAAGCACTTACAGGCATCAGACAGAGCTGGAAGTGTGTGTGTGTGTGTGTGTGTGTGTGTGTGTGTGTGTGTGTGTGTGTGTGTGTGTGTGTGTGTGTGTGTGTGTGTGTGTGTGTGTGTGTGTGTGTGTGTGTGCGTGCGTGCGTGCGTGCGTGCGTCAGTGACCAGCAGATGATGACCCGGCCTCTGTCTGCAGTGGGCTACAGGAGGCCTCTCAGTCACCACGCTCGCAAGTCCATGATGATGAGGCCGGACATGAGATACAAAGTAAGCTCCCCTTTACACTGTGGCATGTGTCCACACTTAAACCTCCAGAGAATCTTTATATATGAATCACAGACACCTTGGTTCTGCACTGCTTATCGTCTTCCACTGAGCTTAGATGCACTGAAGACACCATACACAAAGCCAACAATGCATTGCAGAATGAACAGTGTAGGTATAAGAAGGCAAGTTTATTTAAACAGCCCATTTGAAAACAAGGTGATTCATAGTGCTTTACCAGACACATTAATAGCATTAAGATAAAGTGCAACAGAAACATGTTCTAAAAATGACATTTGAAAACAGTCATATAAAAGCCAAGAGAATAGAGATGAAATCAAGCTCAAATAGAATACCACAGGTTTAAAAAGGATGAAAAGTTACTGTGCGGTGTAAGATATGAGTACTTATTTGACTTAAGAAAAGGCAGCAGCAAAAAGGAAAGTCTTGAGAAAGTTCTGAAACATGTAATCACTGATTTGTTAAATGCACTAACTAAGTTCTTGTATTGGACCATAATGCCCTGGGGATGTGTCTGTTTTGGGCATTGTAATTAAATACAACAATGAAGTAAATATGTATTGATCCATAAGGATTATACAATGCACAGGAATAAAGAATGTACACTAGGTATCATGGTTAGGATTTCCCCAATTAAGCTAATATAAGGGATAGTTTGAATTGTTTGTATTGGGGTTGTATACAAACAACCCCAATGAATGCTATTAATGTGTCTGGTAAAGCCTTTACTTACCTAAAGACAGTGTATTATCCCTCTGTACAGTTTGGGGAAAGACATCTGAAAAAAACGAAATATGTTAAATTGTATGTTCAATTTCGATTATTATTATTATTACCTTATTACCTATTACCTAAGTCAGACAGCCCTTTCTAACAGGAAACTAAAGCCATTATCGCTGCTCTCTTCAGGTTCCATTTACAGAAACAGTCATTTGAGTTTAAGAACATAGGAGTTGCTGGCCTGCCTCGATGAGTTATATAGTTTGTGTTATTTATTGTGTGACTTTGCTGGGCTGGTGTTCTGTAAGCATGCATCATTTTCAATACTTTAATGCAATATGTGCTTCTAGGGCTGCTCGATTATGGCAAAAATCATAATCTCGATTAATTGTGACAATAATTGACATCACGATTATTAAAAACGATTATCCATTTACTTTGAAAACATCAATTTATTGGAGAAAAAAAATGTGAACAGTATGTTTTTAACAGTTGATTACCCTGAACTTTAAGTATAATTGAATTGAAAAAAATAAAATAAAAGTAATTTGAATTTTTTTTCCAATTACGTGGTTTTCGTAATCGTTGCAAGCCATAATCATAATTGCGATTAAAATACGATTAATTGAGCAGCCCTAATCTGTACGTATATGCTTGTCAGTGGTGTTGAAACAGATGTTCCTCTCCATGCTCCCTGTATTGACTGGCTCCTGCTCTGTCTCCAGGCTGAGAACATCATGGTGCTGGACATGGACCTGCCTGCCCGCACCACTAAGGAGTACCAGGAGCCCGTTATCGCCCCCAAGGTGGCGGCGGCTCTGGAGAGCGCTCTGCGGGACGAGGATGAGATCCAGGTGGATGCCTCGGGCTTCCACAGCAGCTTGGGATCAACCCCCCCCACCAGCGGCAGCCTCAAGAAGCCAAAGTCTGGGTAAGGAACACCGGCACCACCAGATCAATGAATGTTCATGTGCTATGACATGGTGACACTGGTCATTCACAGTTTCAAGATTCAGTGGCTTGATTGTCACAATAGCTACAGTGTAGATGGTGGCATTACAAATCAGTCCCAGGGAGGGTTGGGTACCAAAAACCGCTTTGGATTTCAACGGCATCGTTTAGAAATCTTAATTTTGGTTCTGATTATTGACTCATGAGGAAATGCATCACTGTCACTCACACTCTCTCTCTCTCACTGTCACTCTCATTCTCTCTCTCACTCACTCACTCTCTCTCTCTTTCACTCTCACTCTCCCTCTGGATCTGAGAATTTCTTTCAACACTGAATACGAAATAGGTAAACTATGATCATGGAAATCGAATAAGATGAAACAGAATGTAAAGTTAAAGCATGTTCAGTGAAATAAAATCCTGCTCATTGTAGTTATATGTATTTACATACTACTGCTCATTGTAGTAATATCAGGGTTCTTACGGCCATTAAAAACCTGGAAAAGTCATGGAAATTCAAAATGCAAATTCCATGCCCTGGAAAAGTTATGGAAAACAATATTTTTCCCAAGATTTTGGAAAAGTCATCAAAATGTAACTAAAGTTGCATCAAATATAATTTATATTTTATCTAATTGCCAAAATAGTAATACTATAATGATAATGAAACGTAAAATGGCATTTAACTGTTGAGGTATGTTGCTGGTGAGAGATTTGAGTTGCTTTAGCGCAGGGGTGAGCAAACTTTTTGGCTCGGGGGCCACTATGAGTTTTAAATTTGACAGACGGGCCGGGCCAGTAGCAGATCGGTAAAAACATATTTAGCTGTTCACTCCTCATTATACACTCTGCACTCAATGTTGACTTCTATTTTCTTTGGTCCACTCATTGTTACAGATGCAGGTTCAAATGTGAATTAGGTTCAAAGGTCGAATTATTGCGTCATTGCGTCATCGTTTGCGTCATGACGTAACCATTTAC